ACATCAGTTTAAGCAATCTCAAACTCTCGATTTCAAAGAATGTGTTCTCGAAAACAATTTAGATCGCACAGTGAAACCGAAACCGAGAACCACTGAAAATAGAATATTAAGTGAGATAATGTCCTCTTGTAAGAAAGAGTCAAAAGGATAAACGTATCATCCATCGTGCGACTATCTCTCTGATCAACTTATGATTTCTCAGAAAAACTACAAAAAACAGCGCAAAACTCGATCGGTTCCACCACAAAAGATCATCAATACCGGTCAAGGTAAATGAATTTGCATTGACGCACAATTTCATCTTGCTCAAAGACATCAGAATTGCCACTGGAACAGTTACATTATCATTTTATTGCCACTTTTCCCAATTACCACAATATGCCCAGAATGGTTTCTTTTCAATCACGTACCTATATCTATAAACATGCATGTTGATCAACTAATTTGTTCAACACCAGCAATTGTTGACTGCTGAATAATGTTGTGAAATTTAGTAGTAAGAGGATATAGTAATTTGATGCCTATTGGAAAGCACAAACGGAAACGAGCTTATTCCGAGCAGAATGTGACACTGCTCGCCGCTGCTTCATCAATCAGTCAAAAACCCCCAGTGCCCACTGCAGTTCCTGTGACCATCTCAACCGAGTCACAGCACGGATCCACATTCAATATTGTATTTTATTTCTTTGGTTTCCACTATAAGTTCTCTGTTCATAACCAAATAACTCATTTAAGTCCAAATACAACAACAAAACAATTTATAACGGCTGTTTGTACGTTAAGTTCAGATTTGTAAGCCGAGTTCACTGTAGCAAGTTCAACTTCCATTTGCTGATTGCAATATGCCATAATTAAAGTCACATAAACGATCTGAATGAATTGAAGCAATCTTAGTGGCTGATTTTAATAATAGTTGATTTGTTTTGCTGAGCTTATTAAAAGCTGAATTCAATTTGTACTCATCAAATATAAAATTTAAGGAGAAGTTATCACCACTGATGCTATCATTAAGTGTACTTGATACAAGTGCTACATACGACAAATTCTTCATTGGTGTAAACGGTGACGTCTTTCTGAACGAGCATACACCCGTGAAGGTAGTTTTTAGCCAAGACTTCCTAACGACAGCGAATTGTTTGTTCTCGAACTCGTAAAACTCTTTTTTTTTTCAGCTAATTAATCTTCATTACTTGTTGTTCATTCACTAACCTTAATAGTGGCAATGAAAGTGAAATTCAAGCCCACGAACACAATGACGTTAAAATATTTCGACATTTGATTATTTGTTCCATTCGCAACGCAACGCTCTATTCAAATTTCGAGTTTGAATTACACCAAATTCTTCAGAGAATTTTAATTGATATAAGAAACAAATCGTTTGAGTGAACTCATTCAATTGAAGATTTAATTTCAGAACCCTTACATTCGACCAGAAAGCCTCAAATTTGTTACACCGTCAAAAGGCAAATCGTTAGAATTGTTACTTTCAGAGTATACAATCAATACGCTGCTTCTGAATGCACATAAGTGAGTGTGTTGCTGCAGTTTTATTCAAGTATGAAACGATGATCATCCCATAGATGTAGAGATCATTACCGAATACCACCACATTGACATATTAGGCCAAACAATATCAGCTATGCATTAATGATCTTACTGATGATATCATTCACATCAAAAGTTCCTTCGTACAATTTACACTAATCTATTAAATATGACCGCAAGTTCAGTGTCGGTGCTACTGTTTTACGAGTCGGCTCACAAACGCCAGTATTCGGAAAACTCCTGCGAACAACTTGCACACTCGATGAAGTCTGTTTATCAGATAGCATTCCTGAGGCTGGCGAGAAGTATCCTGACAGACAGCTGGAAATCATCATTCGTACTACGAAAGCGCCTAATGTTCGATTGATAGCAGGTACGAATTTGAGCTTGATAGTGGAATGCGAGGAACTATTTTAATGAGGCAAAGATTCATGGGAAGTATAGAAGGAATATCGAATTGTCATTGTTACAGACACTGCTATGATAACGGTCGAAGGACGGTCATTATTTTATTTGGAGGGAACGACTCAGAAGATTGGTACAATTCCTTTTGAAACAACAATAAGTTTTAATTTGAGAACGCAACGTAACAAGATTCATGGTCAGTTTGCTACCACTTCAGTGAATAGTAACGTCAACGAATGATTACATTCATCTCTTCCGCTTCGAATAAACTTTGCGCATCCGTCGTAATGAACGAACCGAAAACGAAACATCTAAATAAGTTAAAAACGCCTTGTTCGTATGGATCTGCTTCGGATTCTGGAGATCTGCTCCCGGATTTTTTTCAGGACGGTACCATTTCTGGGTCATGTTTCCGAATTTCTTCAGTATCCATAACGTGACTGGTTTGAAAGAGACAACTCAAAAGTTTGCTTGTAGGTAGTGTATCGGTGGTATCAATCGAGTTCCACAAAGACGTGGACTTCTTTGAAGTGCCCGTAGATTCGCTGAGTGGTCTTCGCGATGCTACAAAAGGAGCATTCGAGAATATGTTTAACAAAAAGTTGAACAACGGTACAAAAATCGAAATGAACGACGTCTCCAGCATACGGAATCCGTCGGTTGCGATCGTTAATAAAGCGTTGCTGATACAGACAGATTACGATTTACGAAAACATTTCAACATGAATCCACTCAGAAATCATAATTTGAGTTAAACAGACTCGTTCGTAGTGGTGCGAGTTGTGTCGCCCTCGTGTAGCTTGTAAATTATGTGTAAATTACAAACGGNTCCAGCATACGGAATCCATCGGTTGCGATCGTTAATAAAGCGTTGCTGATACAGACGGATTACGATTTACGAAAACATTTCAATATGAATCCACTCAGAAATCATAATTTGAGTTGAACAGACTCGTTCGTAGTGGTGCGAGTTGTGTCGCCCTCGTGTAGCATGTAAATTATGTGTAAATTACAAACGGTTCGAACAGCACCCAACAGACTGGGTTTGACCGACGGTCAACTATGCGTAGGTAATTTGATGTCAGCTCAATTCAGTGGTAAGATAAGATTCGAGGTTTCTACACCGAATCTAAAACACTTCGAGAGGATTACAAGTTTCATTTATTTAGAATGATAAATTAAAGCAAGAATCAAGGTCACCACCCATTTCCGCTGATGCGGTGCTGTCAGAACAAGTAGTTGATTAGTTTGATGGATTTAAGAAGTGACTTATACTGGTTGTTTATTTATAATTGTGATACGTTTTAATGATCGTTCAAATTTCTAATAATTTTGATACTCAAAATGTATTTACTGGAATAAACTGTTGAGTTTGTCTTTATTAAGAAATAAATCATAAAGATTCAACTGTATTCCGCTTGTGTTTTCCATGTTACATCGTGAATATAACAAACTTTTTGTATTATTTAAATCACGTTAGGATATATAAGATATTAGCCCGAAATGAGCACATCACTGAGCTCGCACCGAACTACTTCAGCAGCCATTCTGCACGTTCAGCACGAAATTAAAACATTCGGTATAAGATTAGTCTTCAGCGCGATGATGCCAGTCTTGAAACAAGTAATAACTCGAATAATTCCGTGAAATGCTCACATTTAGCAGTTTGAAGTGGCCCTCGTAACAATTATCTTGTGACGTTTATCGTTCAATGAAACGTCAACGAATGATTTGTCTACAACTAAATTCTCTATCGTAAAGCAATGATACGAATACACTGTCATTATCAAACCTTTCCGCTAGCAAGTTCAACACCACACAAACAGTTATCGCACTCTCAAATTCAACCCAACGTACTCTCAAGTTAGCTCAGTAACATAT